CTGTACTCCAGCTATTGTTGTTAATATTTGTGTAGGTATAAGTTATTGTCTGCCCTGTACTCCAGCTATTGTTGTTAATATTTGTGTAGGTATAAGAAGAATCTGAAGGCTTTGTATCTGGTTCACCCAACCAGGTTTATAAAGATACTGTGGAATGTCTTCAAACCTTTCATCAGGTAAGATTGTGTCACTCTTTGATAGTGTCACATGCTCTACATTGACATATTCTCCTATTAATGGATGACTATAAGTTATAGAATCTGACTGTTTCACTGTGTACTTTTCCTGTATACTGCAGAAAAGCAGCACTAAAATTGTAAGAGTTCTTTTTTCTTTCAAAATCCATTTCTAGATAGATTTAATAATTGAAATGTGATTGTTCTGTTGACCTTGAAGAATAACCTTGGGCATATTTCAATATGGGCATGATCTGTCAAAGGTAAAGGTCACTCGCAAAAAAATGAAGTTTTTACAGAAAAGGGCTTGTAATTATTCATTTTGTTGTATTTATTGACAGATTTTCATGAAACTTGAAACACATTTTTGCCTTTGACATACCCTAATCAAGTTCCAGTTATCAGTCACAGATCACAGTCACTGCTAATAGAAATTAGATTCACAGAAAATGGCTTGTCATCACTCCATAGGTCCAGGAGGAGTTGATGGATTATAAGCTTTGGTTACTTTCCCAAGTAGTGGTAATACCTAGTACAATAAAAGACAAATACCTTTAACATGTCGGAGACAAAAATAGATTTTGCAGTAAATATGTGTAGAGTGATAATACTGGAGGACAGTAGAATGTAAATAAATTGTGGAAGAATAAGATTTCATTGCATGACAGTGTATTAAATGTTATAATGGTTTTAATGAGAAGTGTAGCATATATAATAATTATTGTGTTGCTGTTCTAATAATTTTATTTTGATATATTTTTTTATTAATAAAATATATTTGAATTTTTTCCAATTTTCATTTTGTACCAGAAGGTATGAGCCTTCATGGCGTGGCATATGTGTACACAATTATCTACCCTTTTGTAAATCTTTAACAGCTAATTATGAATTGTAACCATGGCAACATAACAGCTGTTCTGTGTATCAATGACAACAGCCTATGTAGGCTTAATACTTGTATGCACTTCTAATGTCAACTGTTTTAGCTTGAGTAGCAGTTTTTTCCACACCTATATAATTTATCAAAACAATTTTTTCATTTGTTTTGTTTCATCATTTTGTGAGAATGTTATACAATTACTGATTTCATTAAGTGAATAAGAAGATTTATGTACCCTAAGATGAATAATATCCACGTAGCCAGGGTTATTATAGCTTATACCTCCATCAGCTCCAGGCAGTTAGTATGTTCTGTCAAGTATCCAAAAGCCAGTGTAAATCATGTTCATTCCATCATAAGCTAGTATTTGGTGAAACTGTGGAAAGACCTTGCTACTCAAGTTGGCTGAGGTAAAACTAATTATCACTACATTATAGTACAGATGCTGCAGTCCAGATACAAAGGTGTGGTAGACGTCCACTTTATATCCTATATAACCAGAAAACACTCAAGTCTAATACATAATATAAACCAGATACAAATATAAATGTGAGTGTAAACAACCTGTTCATACCACTGAAAGGCAGTGATACCACTGAAACCCTGAGAGGGAGTTAGATCAAACGAGCATTTAGACCTTGGGAGGCAGTGATACCACTGAAACCCTGAGAGGGAGTTAGATCAAACGAGCATTTAGACCTTTGGGAGGCAGTGATACCACTGAAACCCTGAGAGGGAGTTAGATCAATCAATTATTTAGACCTTTGGGAGGCAGTGATACCACTGAAACCCTGAGAGGGAGTTAGATCAAACAAGTATTTAGACCTTTGGGCAGTCAAAACTTACTTCTCATTAAGACACCTTTGAGCCAGAGAGATATTACTAGCTACTCAGACTGAAACAATTGAGATGAACAAGCCATTCAAACCCTTGTGAGACATTAAATGGTAAACTACATAGCTATCTTCCCCCTTAGAGGCAGTAAGCTGAAACAAGCTTTTTAGGCCCGTGGGAGGCAGTGAAATCAATACAGTTAATTAAACCCTGAGGAGGTAATGAGAATGGCTATTTTGATTCTGGGAGGTGGTGAGATCAAGCAAGCCTTTAACACTCTTAAGTGATAGTGAGATCAGGAAAACATTTATATATAAAGCAACAAGTGTCGATTTCTTGTTGTGTCATTCACCACAGATGTAGAATGTAAGACTACTTTACAAATTGTTTAAGAAAACATTTAGTACAATATTGTTTTAAGTGTATTAGCGGGGAAACTATGCATTAACAGAGCCCTGGTTTTATTGCCAGTTCTTACTGTTCAGTTTTGCATGATCTTGTTGATTTGAATCAGTAGAAGTAATGTAATTGTGTTATTCAGAAACAATGTTTTTAAATGAAAAGGAACTGATTGCACAATATTTGAATTCTATATTAATGTTACTGAAGCTTCATAGCTCCAAGTCCAATTTTTCTTTGTTTTGTTGTTGTTAAAGTCTGTGTATCCAGTTTCACCAAGTAATGTGTTAACAAAAACTCTGCTGTGGTTTGTCTGAGTAAACCAACATACCTGTTAACCGCTGTGGTTTGTCTGAGTAAACCAACATACCTGTTAACCGCTGTGGTTTGTCTGAGTAAACCAACATACCTGTTAACCGCTGTGGTTTGTCTGAGTAAACCAACATACCTGTTAACCGCTGTGGTTTGTCTGAGTAAACCAACATACCTGTTAACCGCTGTGGTTTGTCTGAGTAAACCAACATACCTGTTAACCGCTGTGGTTTGTCTGAGTAAACCAACATACCTGTTAACCGCTGTGGTTTGTCTGAGTAAACCAACATACCTGTTAACCGCTGTGGTTTGTCTGAGTAAACCAACATACCTGTTAACCGCTGTGGTTTGTCTGAGTAAACCAACATACCTGTTAACCGCTGTGGTTTGTCTGAGTAAACCAACATACCTGTTAACCGCTGTGGTTTGTCTGAGTAAACCAACATACCTGTTAACCGCTGTGGTTTGTCTGAGTAAACCAACATACCTGTTAACCGCTGTGGTTTGTCTGAGTAAACCAACATACCTGTTAACCGCTGTGGTTTGTCTGAGTAAACCAACATACCTGTTAACCGCTGTGGTTTGTCTGAGTAAACCAACATACCTGTTAACCGCTGTGGTTTGTCTGAGTAAACCAACATACCTGTTAACCGCTGTGGTTTGTCTGAGTAAACCAACATACCTGTTAACCGCTGTGGTTTGTCTGAGTAAACCAACATACCTGTTAACTGCTGGGGTTTTTCTGAGTAAACCAACATACCTGTTAACTGCTGTGGTTTGTCTGAGTTAACCAACATACCTGTTAACCGCGGTGGTTTGTCTGAGTAACCCAACATACCTGTTAACCGCTGTGGTTTGTCTGAGTAAACCAACATACCTGTTAACCACTGTGGTTTGTCTGAGTAAACCAACATACCTGTTAACCAATGTGGCTTGTCTGAGTAAACCAACATACCTGTTGGTCGCTGTGGTTTGTCTGAGTAAACCAACATGCCTGTTAACCCCTGTGGCTTTTCTGAGTAAACCAACATACCTGTTAACTGCTGTGGTTTGTCTGAGTAAACCAACATGCCTGTTAACCCCTGTGGCTTGTCTGAGTAAACCAACATACCTGTTAACTGATGTGGTTTGTCTGAGTAAACTAACATACCTGTTAACCGGTGTGGTTTGTCTGAGTAAGCCAACATACCTGTTAACCCCTGTGGTTTGTCTGAGGAAACCAACATACCTGTTAGCCGCTGTGGTTTGTCTGAGTAAACCAACATACCTGTTAACCGCTGGAAGTTTTGTACCTAGTTGCATCAGAGGCTCTTGCCTTGCCTGTTAATATATCTATAATACAATCTAGGTATATGACTGACAAGGCAAGTGCCTTTAATTGCACTACTAATTTTTTCTGTTTCTTTTTAAAATTTAAAATTTAGACGTGTATGATTACAATTGTAGTACACACTCCAGACAGCATGCAGTGATAGAGCATTGTATTACAGGACACTATTGTTTACCCACAACTAACACAATCTACATACTAACACTTATCCTATCAATAACATGACGATCACCTTTGTGCTACTTCCAGACACATGTATTGTAACATGAAGCTGCTATTATACTACTACCCACTGGTTTCCACTGGGTGAAGTATGTGATGCTGCTATTATACTACCACCCACTGGTTCCCACTGGGTAAAGTAAATGATGCTGCTATTATACTACCACCCACTGGTTCCCACTGGGTGAAGTATTTGATGCTGCTATTATACTATCTCCCACTAGTTCCCACTGGGTAAAGTAAATGATGCTGCTATTATACTACCACCCACTGGTTCCCACTGGGTAAAGTATTTGATGCTGCTATTATACTACAACCCACTGGTTCCTGCTGGGTGAAGGATTTGATGCTGCTATTATACTATCACCCACTAGTTCCCACCGGGTAAAGTAAATGATGCTGCTATTATACTACAACCCACTGGTTCCCACTGGGTGAAGTATTTGATGCTGCTATTATACTACTACCCACTGGTTCCCACTGGGTGAAGTATGTGATGCTGCTATTATACTACTACCCACTGGTTTCCACTGGGTGAAGTATTTGATGCTGCTATTATACTATCACCCACTAGTTCCCACTGGGTAAAGTAAATGATGCTGCTATTATACTACTACCCACTGGTTCCCACTTGGTGAAGTATGTGATGCTGCTATTATACTACTACCCACTGGTTCCCACTGGGTAAAGTAAATGATGCTGCTATTATACTACTACCCACTGGTTCCCACTGGGTGAAGTATTTGATGCTGCTATTAAACTACTACCCATTGGTTCCGCCTGGGTGAAGTATTTGATGCTGCTATCAAACTACTACCCACTGGTTCCCACTGGGTGAAGTTTTTGATGCTGTTATCAAACTTCTATCCACTAGTTCCCACTTGGTGAAGTATATAATGTTGCTAAATTACCTCCCTTTACCAAAGTACTTATCATTTATACTCACAGAGGAATGTCATTAAAACATTTGATAAAACATATCTATCACTGTAAAAAAAATGTGAAAATTATGATTGTTTAAAGAGGTATATTTAAAGGATGCGAGACTTCATTTGAAGACTGTATATTTCCTATCTTATATCAAATATGCTCCTGATTTTCCTCAATTTTTTTCTAATTTTCTAATTAATGGAAAATTACATGAAAAAATAATTCAAATGTATGAAATGTTAACTTATTAATCCCTCATGTTTTGCTAATTGTTGATAACTTATCAATTTAACTATTGCATACTTTAATGTTGAGTGCATGTACTTGAGTTGATTAAATTGACTGTTTTCAGTGCCAAGTTTGGGCGTAAGGTGATGTATGTAAACTACCTACATGAGCTGAAGGAACACCTACACTTTGACCAGCTGGTTGTCCCTGAACCTGTACTACAGTAAGTCAAGGTCCTATCTTACTGTGTTCTACTTCAGTAGAAGTCACATTACAATAACTATTTTAAAAAAAACATTTGAGTGTTTGAAGAGTTTGCTTATTGCACAAATACTGCTAATAACTTTTATAGTGGAAAAACTCCTGACATGAGATGAAGACTGACTGATGACCTAGTGAGCTAGAACATGCATTGTAAGAACCCTATTTACCATATGAAAACCGTGTTATGCAGTGTCATAAAGCCATCACCTAAATTATGTTTATGTAACGTGTGTAATATAACTCTGGAAATGATGTCATAATCAAATAGGAACATCAATGTGACATCACGTCGTTGGGAGCGGACACAATTTTCATCGTTTCAGAGGCGGCCAAGTGCAAAATGTTTGTTTCAGATCACAATTATACAGTTTTCTTTGTAGTAAATGATAAAAAAGAATCGGTCATTTGTTTCCCATGGTCTCCATGGTCTGGATGACATTTATATACCAAAGAGTCATAACAAATGATGTGTCACACATATTATTTAATAGGATTATTGTATGTATGATGTGTCGCTACCTGTATGTATTACTGCCATAGGGATTGAACCGTGTTTTTAGGTCACTTGAGCTTTGCTCAAGTGACCTATTCCAATCACTTTCCGTCCGTCGTCGTGCGTCTTGCGTAAACTTTTTACATTATCAACTTCTTCTCAAGAACCAGTGGATGGAAATTATTCTCACTTGGTGAGAATTATCCTTGAAGGAAGATGGTTTTAAATTGTAAAATTGGGATTCCTACCCCATTCCTAGGGGCCAGGGCGGGGCCATCAAAGGGAAATTTAACCAATTTTTCAAAAATCTTCTTCTCCAGACTCAGAGGTATTACAGTCATCTTCTCTGCATGGATGGAAAGATCATCAGGGGCTTTATTTAAATTGTAAATTTCAGGACCCCCAATCTATCCGTTCTCCCTTGGGGAGGGGGTAAAGTTTACTATAGTTTATATAGGGAAACAACACTTTTGGGTATATTTTGACAATTTTCTGTTGGAAATTATTTTTACTTGGTCAGAATCATCTTTGGTGGATGACGGTATCACATTGTAAACATGGAATTCCTGCCCCATCTCCAGGGGTTAGAGCGGGGCCCCAAAGGGAACATTTACAAATATTTTAAAATTCTTATCCTTTGATGACATGACAAGTATTGTATTTCACTTAGTTTACATGCTGATTTCCACATCACATCTAAACAATAAAATAAAGCTACCAGTACCTATGATATAACTCAGGTGACCGCTAAGGCCCTTGGGCCTCTTGTTAAAATGTTCATGCTCTTATGAAGGCAAATCAGTTACATTTATATTAAACATGGAGCCCGCTAAAAAACTCTGTTCAATCCATATATTTACATATTTACTATAGAACAATTGTTTAATTTAATTTATTTGTTCTTAAATAATAAAGTAACTTACTGCGTTTTGTATATGCATTGTCATTTAAACGACATTTGCGGAACAGCCCTATTTTGAAAAAATTGGCGCCAATAATTAACCGCACTCATTTGAGCGTTGACGTAGGGACATTTTCCATGTTATCCAAATCGAAGCGTCAAAGCTCTCATCGAACAAGGTCTATGACCTCACACCTGTATGTATTGCTGGTGTAGGTATGTCACACTTGTATGTTATATAATGTATTGTTGTTGTAGGTACGATGCTAAACAGGTAAAGTCGAACAAGCCTCCGTACCCTTACTCTGGAGACAGAGTAGATGATTCATCTGGTGCACAGAAAACACAGCAGTTTGGGGTTACACTGAGCCAGTAAGTTACAGTCATTCTACTATCAGTTTGGAGTTACACTGAATCAGTAAGTTACAGTCATTCTACTATTTATAAAATCATTTAATGCATCAAAGCTTTACAATAGATTACAAAAACACATCAAGCTCACTTCACCGCGTGGTAGATTGAGTTGTTTCACATGTCAAACGTGTGGCGTAGATTGAGTTGTTACACGTGTCAAACAAAAGTGGTATATTGAGTTGTTACATGTGTCAAACAAGTAAGGTAGATTGAGTTTTTTACACATGTCAAACAAGTGTGGTATATTGAGTTGTTACACATGTCAAACAAGTGTGGTATATTGAGTTGTTACACATGTCAAACAAGTGTGGTATATTGAGTTGTTACACATGTCAAACAAGTGTAGTAGATTGAGTTGTTACACATGTCAAGCAAGTGTGGTAGATTGAGTTGTTACACATGTCAAACAAGTGTAGTAGATTGAGTTGTTACACATGTCAAACAATTGTGGTAGATTGAGTTGTTAGTAAGTTACAGTCATTCTACTATTTATAAAATCATTTAATGCATCAAAGCTTTACAATAGATTACAAAAACACATCAAGCTCACTTCACCGCGTGGTAGATTGAGTTGTTTCACATGTCAAACGTGTGGCGTAGATTGAGTTGTTACACGTGTCAAACAAGTGTGGTAGATTGAGTTGTTACACATGTTAAGCAAGTGTGGTAGATTGAGTTGTTACCCATGTCAAACAAGTGTGGTAGATTGAGTTGTTACACGTGTCAAACAAAAGTGGTATATTGAGTTGTTACATGTGTCAAACAAGTAAGGTAGATTGAGTTTTTTACACATGTCAAACAAGTGTGGTATATTGAGTTGTTACACATGTCAAACAATTGTGGTAGATTGAGTTGTTACACATGTTAAACAAGTGTGGTAGATTGAGTTGTTGCACATGTCAAACAAGTGTGGTAGATTGAGTTGTTACACATGTCAAGCAAGTGTGGTAGATTGAGTTGTTACACGTGTCAAACAAAAGTGGTATATTGAGTTGTTACATGTGTCAAACAAGTGTGGTAGATTGAGTTTTTACACATGTCAAACAAGTGTTGTAGATTGAGTTGTTACACATGTCAAACAAGTGTGGTATATTGAGTTGTTACACATGTCAAACAATTGTGGTAGATTGAGTTGTTACACATGTTAAACAAGTGTGGTAGATTGAGTTGTTACATGTGTAAAACAAGTGTGGTAGATTGAGTTGTTACATGTGTAAAACAAGTGTGGTAGATTGAGTTGTTACACATGTCAAACAATTGTGGTAGATTGAGTTGTTACACATGTCAAACAAGTGTAGTAGATTGAGTTGTTACACATGTCAAACAATTGTGGTAGATTGAGTTGTTAGTAAGTTACAGTCATTCTACTATCGGTTTGGGGTTACACTGAACCAGTAAGTTACAGTCATTCTACTATTTATAAAATCATTTAATGCATCAAAGCTTTACAATAGATTACAAAAACACATCAAGCTCACTTCACCGCGTGGTAGATTGAGTTGTTTCACATGTCAAACGTGTGGCGTAGATTGAGTTGTTACACGTGTCAAACAAGTGTGGTAGATTGAGTTGTTACACTTGTCAAACAAGTGTGGAAGATTGAGTTGTTACACATGTCAAACAATTGTGGTAGATTGAGTTGTTAGTAAGTTACAGTCATTCTACTATTTATAAAATCATTTAATGCATAAAAGCTTTACAATAGATTACAAAAACACATCAAGCTCACTTCACAGCGTGGTAGATTGAGTTGTTTCACTAGTCAAACGTGTGGCGTAGATTGAGTTGTTACACATGTTAAACAAGTGTGGTTGATTGAGTTGTTACACATGCCAAACAAGTGTGGTAGATTAAGTTGTTACATGTGTCAAACAACTGTGGTAGATTGAGTTGTTCCACGTGTGAAACAAGTGTGGTAGATTGCGTTGTTACACATGTCAAACTAGTGTGGTAGATTGAGTTATTACACATGTCAAACAAGTGTAGTAGATTGAGTTGTTACACGTGTCAAACAAAAGTGGTAGATTGAGTTGTTACACGTGTCAAACAAGTGTGGTAGATTGAGTTGTTACACGTGTGAAACAAAAGTGGTAGACTGAGTTGTTACACGTGTCAAAAAAAAGTGGTATATTGAGTTGGTACATGTGTCAAACAAATAAGGTAGATTGAGTTTTTTACACATATCAAACAAGTGTGGTCGATTGAGTTGTTACAGGGGTCAAACAAGTGTGGCAAGTGTCAAACAAGTGTGGTCGATTGAGTTGTTACATGTGTCAAACAAAAGTGGTAGACTGAGTTGTTACACGTATCAAACAAAAGTGGTATATTGAGTTGTTACATGTGTCAAACAAGTAAGGTAGATTGAGTTTTTTACACATGTCAAACAAGTGTGGTAGATTGAGTTGTTACATGTGCCAAACAAGTGTGGTAGATTGACTTGTTACACGTGTCAAACAAGTGTAGTAGATTGAGTTGTTACAGGTGTCAAACAAGAGTGGTAGATTGAGTTGTTGCACATGTCAAACAAGGGTGGTAGATTGAGTTGTTGCACATGTCAAACAAGGGTGGTAGATTGAGTTGTTGCACATGTCAAACAAGGGTGGTAGATTGAGTTGTTGCACATGTCAAACAAGTGGGGGAGATTGAGTTGTTACACATGTTAAACAAGTGTGGTAGATTAAGTTGTTACACGTGTCAAACAAAAGTGGTATATTGAGTAGTTACATGTGTCAAACAAAAGTGGTATACTGAGTTGTTACATGTGTCAAACAAGTGTGGTAGATTGAGTTGTTACATATGTCAATCAAGTGTGGTAGATTGAGTTGTTACACATGTCAAACAAGTGTGGTAGATTGAGTTGTTACACATGTCAAACAAGTGTGGTAGATTGAGTTGTTACACATGTCAAACAAGTGTGGTAGATTGAGTTGTTACACATGTCAAACAAGTGTGGTAGATTGAGTTGTTACACATGTCAAACAAGTCTCCCTTTACCTTATATTTATTATTGATATTGATCTTGTTAAATTTGTCTTTTAAATTATTAGCCTTCTTTCTACATATTAACTTCTGGGCTGGAGATGGATTTATTATGTAAATAATAAGTCCATCTTCAGCTCAAAAGAAATGTGGTTACAACGTAAATATTGTCTTTGAAATTATAGTGTCATACATCAATTGTAAATTATAGTGTCATACATCAATTGTATATTATAGTGTCATATATCAATTGTATATCATAGTGTCATGCATCAATTGTATATTATAGTGTCATACATCAATTGTATATTATAGTGTCATACATCAATTGTAAATTATAGTGTCATACATCAATTGTATATTATAGTGTCATATATCAATTGTATATTTTAGTGTCATATATCAATTGTATATTATAGTGTCATATATCAATTGTATATTATAGTGTCATACATCAATTGTAAATTATAGTGTCATACATCAATTGTATATTATAGTGTCATACATCAATTGTATATTATAGTGTCATACATCAATTGTATATTATAGTGTCATACATCAATTGTATATTATAGTGTCATACATCAATTGTATATTATAGTGTCATACATCAATTGTATATTATAGTGTCATACATCAATTGTATATTATAGTGTCATACATCAATTGTATATTATAGTGTCATACATCAATTGTATATTATAGTGTCATACATCAATTGTAAATTATAGTGTCATACATCAATTGTATATTATAGTGTCATACATCAATTGTATATTATAGTGTCATACATCAATTGTATATTATAGTGTCATACATCAATTGTATATTATAGTGTCATACATCAATTGTATATTATAGTGTCATACATCAATTGTATATTATAGTGTCATACATCAATTGTATATTATAGTGTCATACATCAATTGTATATTATAGTGTCATACATCAATTGTATATTATAGTGTCATACATCAATTGTATATTATAGTGTCATACATCAATTGTATATTATAGTGTCATACATCAATTGTATATTATAGTGTCATACATCAATTGTATATTATAGTGTCATACATCAATTGTATATTATAGTGTCATACATCAATTGTATATTATAGTGTCATACATCAATTGTATATTATAGTGTCATACATCAATTGTATATTATAGTGTCATACATCAATTGTATATTATAGTGTCATACATCAATTGTATATTATAGTGTCATACATCAATTGTAAATTATAGTGTCATACATCAATTGTAAATTATAGTGTCATATATCAATTGTAAATTATAGTGTCATACATCAATTGTAAAGTATAGTGTCATACATCAATTGTAAATTATAGTGTCATACATCAATTGTATATTATAGTGTCATATATCAATTGTATATTATAGTGTCATACATCAATTGTATATTATAGTGTTATTTCATCAATTGTATATTATAGTGTCATACATCAAAACAATTGATGAAATAACCTTTAACATTAAATATTACAGTTTTATATGAAGTTACACTGATAACATGTATCACCACACACCTAATAAAACTGTATTTGTTGTCAGCATTCGGCAGAATTATAAGTGTGTTATACCCCCAGTGGTGGAGATTTCTGTGGAATACCTCAGGGTCAATGGTAAGTTTGTGTGGTCAGTATGTGACAGAATTAAAAAAATTAGGTAACCCCCACCCTTTGTGGTGGAGATTTCTGTGGAATACCTCAGGGTCAATGGTAAGTTCATGTGGTCAGTATGTGACAGAATTAAAAAATTAGGTAACCCCCACCCTTTGTGGTGGAGATTTCTGTGGGATACCTCAGGGTCAATGGTAAATTTGTGTGGTCAGTATGTGACAGAATTAAAAAATTATGTACACCCCCACCCTTTGTGGTGGAGATTTCTTTCAAATAAAGAGAGATATCCCTATGTAAGTAAAGATTTCTGATAGAAGACAAACAGACCAATGGTGTTTGTTGTCAACCATTTTAATGCTTGTCCTAGTCATAATATCTTAATTGCTAAACAATTTCTGATGAAAGATATATCACCATTGAACAGTATGTCACATTCTGTTTCACTCAAGTTCAAGTGTCAAAGGTAAAATATTTGTCACTGTTTACCACCAAATATGGTTTCTAAAATAAGCAATGTTTAAACATGAAATATCAAAATTTTTGAACAGTCAATCTGGTTTTAACAAAATATATTCAATACATTGTATGTCCTTACAAACTGGAATGTCACAGCCCTTTATACAAGGGAACACATATTGCTTTTCAATATCTCATACGCTTGTTTAAAAGTTTTGTGATTTTATTTTCAGCTTTAGATGTTGAAGGAATTTTCCGGAGGTCTGCTAATGCTCGCACTCTAAAAGAAGTTCAGAAAAAGTTTAATCAAGGTAATACTTACACTGCAGCAGCTTCCAGTCCTGCTCTAAGTAATAGATACCAGGATGTCATTCCTCTCTGAGGGTTTCATTTTCAAACTCCATAACTTGTCATAAATTAGACCAGAATCAAAGGATTCACTGACAGCCATCTAATGTTAAATGTTAATTATACAATCATATAAAGACCATATATATAGAGGAATCACTGTACAGCACACCAAACCTAAAACACAGTCTTACTGGGACTGGCCATTATAAGCTCTTGTGAAAAAGTTAACCTCAGTTTCTCATTTAACTCCAGGACTATAACTGTACTAAGAGTCCGTATAACGGAGGTGAACCTGTAATGTGTACTGGTGATTTGGAGGTTAACCTGTAATGTACACTGGTGATTTGGAGGTTACCCTGTAATGTATACTGGTGATTTGGAGGTTAACCTGTAATGTCCACTGGTGATTTGGAGGTTACCCTGTAATGTAAACTGGTGATTTGGAGGTTAACCTGTAATGTATTCTGGTGATTTGGAGGTTACCCTGTAATGTATACTGGCGATTTGGAGGTTAACCTGTAATGTACACTGGTAATTTGGAGGTTACCCTGTAATGTATACTGGTGATTTGGAGGTCACCCTGTAATGTATACTGGTGATTTGAAGGTTACCCTGTAATGTGTTCTGGTGATTTGGAGGTTAACCTGTAATGTACACTGGTAATTCGGAGGTTAACCTGTAATGTATACTGGTGATTTGGAGGTTAACCTGTAATGTATACTGGTGATTTGAAGGTTACCCTGTAATGTACACTGGGGATTTGGAGGTTAACCTGTAATGTATACTGGTGATTTGGAGGTTAACCTGTAATGTATACTGGTGATTTGGAGGTTAACCTGTAATGTATACTGGTGATTTGGAGGTTAACCTGTAATGTATACTGGTGATTTGTTTTAGGTCTGACTGTAGATTTCTGTACGGAAGGAGATGTTCACATAGCCGCTGTTATCCTTAAAACCTTCCTCAGGGAGCTACAGGAGCCCCTTCTGACATTTGACCTATACCAGCCAATCGTCCGCCTTCACAGTAATGAAGCAAATATTTTGAGTAGACTATAAAGAATAAGATGTCGGTTTTTCACATAATTTGCATAGTGCAAAAGATCAGTATGTTTCTACCCGAGATTTGATATAATCTTTTTTAAATCATTCCAGTTAAATCATGTTAATACAGGCAAGTTACATTTAAAAGCATTCCTGTGAATTATTCTGTTGATGGTGTGTTAATTTTGGAACTAAATATTTCAGACCAGGATGAGGGCCGGCAAATGGTAGATGTCCAGAGGATGCTTAGGGAAGAACTACCAGAAGACAATTACATCATTCTGAAATACATCCTCCAATTTCTGACAGAGGTATAGCATGTCATATATAAGTTTACCCTCCAGTTTCTGAGAGAGGTATAGCATGTCATACATAAATTGACCCTCCAGTTTCTGAGAGAGGTATGGTATATCATATATAAATTTACCCTCCAGTTTCTGACAGAGGTATGGTATATCATATATAAATTTACCCTCCAGTTTCTGACAGAGGTATGGTATATCTGTCTGTATATATGTATGAGACAAAGTCTCAAGTGACCTATTGCGATCGCCTTTTATCCGGCAGCGTCCGGCGTCTGTCGTGCGTCCCTAAACAATTTACATTTTCAACTTCTTCTCCAAAACCCCTGAACCAATTTTAATGAAATTTTGCAGAAACCTTCCTAGGCTAAAAGTCAACAAAAATAGTGGCCGATTTGGTCCCCAGTCCCCAGGGGCCTGAGGGGCGGGGCCAAAAAGTGTCAAATTGACTTTAAAATTTCAGAAATCTATTTCTCAAGACCCAGATATGGTAGAATCAAATACTCTTCATAGATGGAAGGGTCTTAAGGTGCTTTAGCAAAATTGTGAATTTTATGACCCTTTGGTCTCACGTTTCCTCCTGGGGAGGGGGTAAACTTTACTATAGTTTATATAGGGAAATCACATTTTGGACCAACATTTGTTTAATTTCCATTGGAAGTAATTCAATTTTTGTTAGCATTATCAGTATTGGGTAGCAGTTTGATGGTATGCACATATGAGCCCTGACTGACCCCCCGGGGCTGATGGTTGGGGCAATAAAGGGTTGAATTAACTGAAATTTCAAAAATCTTCTTCTCAAAGACCCAGATATAATAGACTCAAACACTCTTCATAGATGGAAGGGTCTTAAGGTGCTCTACCAAAATTGTGAATTTCATGACCCTGGGGTCTCACGTTTACCCCGGGGAGGTGGTAAACATTACTATAGTTTATATAGGGAAATCACATTTTGGACCAACATTTGTTTAATTTCCATTGGAAGTAATTTAATTTTTGTTAGCATTATCAGTATTGGATAGTCAAAAAGGATCNGTTAATAACTTGATTGGAATTATAACCCTGAGTTGACAGTTTGATACTTTGAAAATTTTGAGCCAGCCCTATCCCCAAGGGCTGTAGGGTGGGGCCCAAAGGAGTCAGTGTGCTAAAATTTCTTCATTTTCCTTGTTTAGAATCAGAGGTGCTTGTTTCAAATACTTTTCAAAAATCTGTATGCTAGATATTGAATAAGATGGTTTTATTGTTTTTTGTCACTTTGAATAATATTTCTGTTCATCTTAAAACCAAATCAACTCTCTGTATAAATATATCAGGTGACCGTTAAGGCCCATGGGCCTCTTGTTTTTCATTACTATGTCGTGATATATTTCTATAATAAATTTATTTGGTTTGTTATAGCTGTGATAGATCAGGACATTAGTGTTAACCTTTCCATACGGCGCATGGGTGCTGTGAATAAACCGTTACGCTAAGTTGAAAGCTCAAAGATTCTTGCAAAGTTCTAGATTTATCGAGTGATTTATTTATAAGTGATGAATTAACTAAATACTGATAGATCATTTCATTAGAAAATTATTTGAACCACATAGATCAGAATACATCGCTATGCAGATTTTCATTAAAAGTAGATCTACATGTAGATTTCAGTACTGGTAGTTGTCTGCTAGCGAAAAACGTATGTGGAACACGTGTGTAGCCAAACAAAAACAAATTCATCATTTCAAGAAATTAATCACTAAAACGCCTTTGTATTTTATTGATTATGCATTTATATTCAAGTATGAAATCGTACCCCTGTTGATGAAGGGAGAAATATTCAAAATAACATAGCAGGCTATATTGCCGGGAAAATGTCATTATAACCCGTGGATGTATGAAAACTTCGTTGTGATTTTCGGGTGAGCCTGGTTTTAACAGCCACCTGTCTTAAGCGGCCAATTTCTGCTGGTCCCTTGGGTGGCCTCTTAATACAGATTTGACTGTACATCATATGTAGATTTGCAAACTTAAATGTCTGGTCCAGAAACCTTTTAATCGAAAGCAGGGGGTATATCTTAATGAGCTTTCTCACAGTTTCTCTACTTAGGGGCAACATTTTCCTTACATTCCAATGTTGTGGTTCAGGAATGATAGTCCCCCATCGTGTACAGGAATGATAGTCCCCCATCGTGTACAGGAATGATAGTCCCCCATCGTGTACAGGAATGATAGTCCCCCATCGTGTACAGGAATGATAGTCCCCCATCGTGTACAGGAATGATAGTCCCCCATCGTGTACAGGAATGATAGTCCCCCATCGTGTACAGGAATGATAGTCCCCCATCGTGTACAGGAATGATAGTCCCCCATCGTGTACAGGAATGATAGTCCCCCATCGTGTACAGGAATGATAGTCCCCCATCGTGTACAGGAATGATAGTCCCCCATCGTGTACAGGAATGAGCATCAAACTTCCTATATTGGTACATCATGGGAAGATAGTGTATGGCATCCTAAAACAAGATCACTGTGACCTCAATATGACCTTTAACCTTGACCACAAGGACCAAAATAATGGTTTCCTGAGCATATCTTAGCCACTGTTTCATGAATGAGCATCAAACTTTTTATATACATGTAGGTACATCATGGGAAGATGGAGTGTGTCGCTTGCTAAAACGAGGTCACTTTGACCTCAGTTTGATCTTTCACCTTGACCTCAGTACTAAAATAATGGTTTATGGATGGGCATCAAACTTTGTACATGAGAACATCATGTGAAGGCAGTGTCGCATCCTTAAACGAGGTCACCTTGACCTCAATTTGACCTTTGATCTTGACCTCAAGTACTTAAAAAATGGTTTCTCAAGCACAGAAGTGTCATCCTCTGAAACCTCCAATGAGGGAGATCTCCCTCATTCCACATTTCTAATGAGGGAGATCTCCCTCATTCCTCATTTCCAATTAGGGAGATCTCCCTCATTCCACATTTCTAATGGGGGAGATCTCCCTCATTCCACATTTCCAATGAGGGAGAAAGTGTGTGAAATGTGACTGAAACTGCTCTGCTCAATTTATCTTTTCCTTTTCCTTTATCAAATTAACTCCAAAATACATTCATTTAATTCAGACACACCTGTTATGGTCATTACACACACCCTGCAGTAATTAGAAGATCATTTGACCACAGGATGTAGGTTTTGAGTTTGTGTGAGTTTGGACTTGAATTAGGGAGTTTTGAGGGATATTGGTCAAAATGAGGGAGTCTCCTTCTAATGAGGGAGGGTTGACAGCTATACAAGCAGATCTCAGCCCTGTTTTGTGAATGAGCATCAATGTGACCTCAATTTTAACCTTCAAGTTAAATTTAGTTTATTTTCTATGTGAATTTTGAGAACTAATGAAAGTATTTTTTTTCAGATTGTTGCACATTGTGAAGAGAACAAAATGACGTCCATGAACCTGTCCATTGTGTTTGGGCCGAACCTTTTATGGCCAAAGGGCCAGGCCTCACTGTCCGCCATGGGCTATCTAAACAACTTCACCAGGTACCTTATAGACCACTACCGGGACCTGTTTGAGAGCTGACTAAGGGCACAGGACTGACACAACTCTTATCATGTCTTAATTTTTCTACAAATTTTCTGTATGTGCAGGGCAATAAAGGCCCTTTGTGTTAACTATTGTACACATATGTATGCTGTGTGGAAACAATACACCATGGATGTGTTTTAGATATGATACACATACTTTCTTCTTAGAAATAACTGAGAAGTTAAGTATAAAACTTTGCTGACAGTATATTTTAAGTTTTATGTGACTACACAGCTGAAACCACACATTTAACATCCCTTTATTTTCATGGTATACTGATCAAACAGGACATTAAATACTCAGTGAGAGTAAATACCCTACATCACATAACTGTATTGATAAGGACTGATACAAATTTGAACACCTGCCAATATGTCCTGTTGTTTTATAGAAAATAACATCTCATTAAATTAAATATCTGTACACTGTATCTGTACACTGTATCTGTACATTGTATCTGTATACTGTATCTGTACATTGTATCTGTACATTGTATCTGTACACTGTATCTGTACACTGTATCTTTACACTGTATCTGTACATTGTATCTTTACACTGTATCTGTACATTGTAACATTGTATCTGTACACTGTATCTGTACATTGTATCTGTACACTGTATCTGTACATTGTATCTGTACACTGTATCTGTACACTGTATCTGTACATTGTTTCCTTTCGATACCTTACCCTTGTCTTTTTTCATTAAATTCCACTTAGTTATTTATAGACTTTTGTATTTTTCTTATCAAGTCATTTAATATGTTGAATTGTTGATAGTCTATATAAGTTTGTTGAACAATGTGTATATTATCTTGGAATCATGGCCAAATACCAGACTTGTGTAACTGTAACATAAATGTGCCAAAGCAGACACTAGTACGGACTAGATTTGTCGTCACATCAGGCTGGTTAATGGAACACACATAACCAGCAGATTTGTCGTCACATTGGACTGGTTAATGGACCACACATAATCAGCAGATTTGTCGTCAAATTGGGCTGGTTAATGGAGCACACATAACTAGCAGATTTGTCGTTACATCGGGCTAGTTAATGGAGCACAGATAACCAGCAGATTTGTCGTCACATTGGGCTGGTTAATGGAGCACACATAACTAGCAGATTTGTCGTTACATCGGGCTGGTTAATGGAGCACAGATAACCAGCAGATTTGTTGTCACATTGGGCTGGTTAATGTAGCACACATAACAAGCAGATTTGTCGTTACATCGGGCTGGTTAATGGAGCACAGATAACCAGCAGATTTGTCGTCACATTGGGCTGGTTAATGGAGCTTACATAACCAGCAGATTTGTCGTCACATTGGGCTGGTTAATGGAGCACACATAACCAGCAGATTTGTCGTCACATTGGGCTGGTTAATGTAGCACACATAAAAAGCAGATTTGTCGTTACATCGGGCTGGTTAATGGAGCACACATAACCAGCAGATCTGTTGTCACATTGGGCTGGTTAATGGAGCACACATAACCAGCAGATTTGTCGTTACATCGGGCTGCTTAATGTAGCACACATAACCAGCAGATTTGTTGTCACATCGGGCTAGTTAATGGAGCACACATAACCAGCAGATTTGTCGTCACATTGGGCTGGTTAATGGAGCACACATAACCAGCAAAATTGTCGTCACATTGGGCTGGTTAATGGAGCACACATAACCAGCAGATTTGTTGTCACATCGGGCTTGTTAATGGAGCACACATAACCAGCAGATTATAGTCTTATAGAATCAGCTGGTTGTCACACAGCAAAGCTAACATTCCAAAAAGTTTCTTTGAAATAATAGCATATTCTTGATAAATTATAACTATAACTTTTGTTTAATATATAAGGCCATATTACCAGGGTCACACATGTACAGATGACCTTGAAAGTGCTACACAAGAAGTACGACAATTCAGTATCGCTCTTCCTTGAAACCTTGAGTTTATTGCACAACTCTCATTTTGATGTAAGTATTTTGAAATTTGTACAAACTATCAAAAATGTGAGGTTATGGAAACAAATTATGGAAAGACTAAATGACCAACTGCTTTGACTTGCTTTCCATTCTGCCTTGCTGTAGAGCCTGGTTTTGAGGCTACCATTGTTATAGCTAGGTGTGCAAGGTGTCTTGGTATAGAACCTTGTTTTGAGTCTTCTTATGTTGTATATAGGTGTGCATGTTTTGCTTTAGAGCTAAGGTGTAAAGCTACATATGTTAAAGCCAGGTTTGGGAACTGCTTTGCTGTAGAGGTCGAGTATAACACTGTGTGCCTACATGTATGTTGTAGCTAGATTTGAGACCTGCCTTGTAGAGTTCGGATATGAAACAACCCACACGTACATTGTAACTAGGTTTGAGACCTGTTTTGTAGAGTTTGGGTATGAGACAACTCACACGTACATTGTAGCTAGGTTTGAGAGTTGTTTTGTAGAGTTTGAGTATGAGACGACCCACACGTACATTGTAGCTAGGTTTGAGAGCTGTTTTGGAGAGTTTGGGGATGAGACAACTCACACGTACATTGTAGCTAGGTTCGAGAGCTGTTTTGTAGGGTTTGGGTATGAGACGACTCATACGTACATTGTAGCTAGGTTTGAGCGCTGGTTTGTAGAGTTTGGGTATGAGACAACTCATACGTACATTGTAGCTAGGTTTAAGAGCTGTTTTGTAGAGTTTGGGTATGAGATAACTCACACGTACATTGTAGCTAGGTTCGAGAGCTGTTTTGTAGAGTTTGGGTATGAGACGACTCATACGTACATTGTAGCTAGGTTTGGGAGCTGTTTTGTAGAGTTTGGGTATGACACGACTCATGCGTACATTGTAGCTAGGTTTGAGAGCTGTTTTGGAGAGTTTGGGGATGAGACAACTCACACGTACATTGTAGCTAGGTCTGAGAACTGTTTTGTAGAGTTTGGGTATGAGACGACTCACACGTACATTGTAGCTAGGTTTCAGCGCTGTTTTGTAGAGTTTGGGTATGAGACGACTCATACGTACATTGTAGCTAGGTTTGAGAGCTGGTTTGTAGAGTTTGGGTATGAGACAACTCATACGTACATTGTAGCTAGGTTTGGGAGCTGTTTTGTAGAGTTTGGGTATGAAACAACTCACACGTACATTGTTGCTAGGGTTTAGAACTGTTTTGTAGAGTTTGGGTATGAGATAACTCACACGTACATTTTAGCCATGTTTGAGAGCTGTTTTGTAGAGTTTGGGTATGAGACGACTCACACGTACATTGTAGCTAGGTTTCAGCGCTGTTTTGTAGAGTTTGGGTATGAGACAATTCACACGTACATTGTAGCTAGGTTTGAGACCTGCCTTGATGTATGTTGTAGCTAGATTTGAGACCTGCCTTGTAGAGTTCGGATATGAAACAACCCACTCGTACATTGTAACTAGGTTTGAGACCTGTTTTGTAGAGTTTGGGTATGAGATAACTAACACGTACATTGTAGCTAGGTTTGAGAATTGTTTTGTAGAGTTTGGGTATGAGACAGCTCACACGTACATTGTAGCTAGGTTTGAGACCTGCCTTGATGTATGTTGTAGCTAGATTTGAGACCTGCCTTGTAGAGTTCGGATATGAAACAACCCACACGTACATTGTAACTAGGTTTGAGACCTGTTTTGTAGAGTTTGGGTATGAGATAACTAACACGTACATTGTAGCTAGGTTTGAGACCTGTTTTGTAGAGTTTGGGTATGAGATAACTCACACGTACAATGTAGCTAGGTTTGAGCGCTGTTTTGTAGAGATTGGGTATGAGACAACTCACACGTACATTGTAGCTAGGTCTGAGAACTGTTTTGTAGAGTTTGGGTATGAGACGACTCATACGTACATTGTAGCTAGGTTTGAGCGCTGGTTTGTAGAGTTTGGGTATGAGACAACTCATACGTACATTGTAGCTAGGTTTGGGAGCTGTTTTGTAGAGTTTGGGTATGAGATAACTCACACATACATTGTAGCTAGGTTTGAGCGCTGTTTTTTAGACTTTGGGTATGAGACAACTCACACGTACATTGTAGCTAGGTTTGAGACCTGCCTTGCAGAGTTCGGATGTGAAACAACCCACACATACATTGAGAGCTGCCTTGTAGAGTTTGAGTATGAGACATCCTACATGTATGATTTAGAGCTACCATACTGAAGAGCTTGTATAGGCTACTTTTGTTGTAGCTAGGTTTAAGGCTGCCGTACTGAAGAGCTTGTATAGGCTACCTGTGTTGTAGCTAGGTTTAAGGCTGCCGTACTGAAGAGCTTCTATAGGCTACCAGTATTGTAGCTAGGTTTAAGGCTGCCATACTGAAGAGCTTGTATAGGCTACCTGTGTTGTAGCTAGGTTTAAGGCTGCCGTACTAAAGAGCTTGTATAGGCTACCTGTGTTGTAGCTAGCTTTAAGGGCTATCTGTTTTCCTTACTGTTTCCTCAGAAGGACATGTTTAATTTTTGTAGCTGTGTCAGTCCCCCTATAGTGAGGTTCTTAGAGATCAATGTTTTATTTGTGACATCCAATGTAAGTCTGCTATTTAACCAACTTTGTTATCAATATTATTAATTCCAGTTTGGAATGATTTGTTATATTTCGATACTATCTGTTAATTGATTCATGTGCCTAGGATTTGATATTTTAGTATAACTCACCATGCCTGTTAAATCATTGTCAGTTACTATTACAGTTACATGTAGCGTGCTTCATATACAATGTGCTGTAGACAATTGTTAATACAAAACTCCCTTACTGAGGGTGATATTTATGAGCTGGTTTATTTTTATGGTTTTGTGGCATTCATGTTGTAAAAAGTTGTACAATTTATGAATTGATATCACATTTGTAAGGGTACATTACGCCGGTTGTAAAACACATTTATAGCAAACCCCTCACACAATTTGTAACTTGTCTCAAGGGACAAAATATTTAACAAAATGATTATAATAAACACCAGGGAAATCAGTTGGCTACAATAAAACATGTTTATAATCAACCCCAGGGGACTTAACAAATCAGTAAGCTACAGTAAAACATGTTTATAATCAACCCCAGGGGACATAACAAATCAATTAGCTACAGTAAAACATGTTTATAATCAACCCCAGGGGACATCACAAATCAGTTAGCTACAGTAAAACATGTTTATAATCGACCCCAGGGGACATAACAAATCAATTAGCTACAGTAAAACATGTTTATAATCGACCCCAGGGGACTTAACAATTCAGCTAGCTACAGTAAAACATGTTTATAATGAACCCCAGGTACAACTCCCTGAAGTGCTCAGTGATGGTCTGGTTATGTTAAGATCACACCTCCCTGAAGGGCTCAGTCATAGTCTGGGTGTGTTAGGATCACACCTCCCTAAAGGGCTTAGTCATAGTCTGGGTGTGTTAGGATCACACCTCCCTGAAGGGTTTAGTGATGGTCTCAGTATGTTAGAATCAC